CAAAGAGAAATGCAAAGGGTGTTTGATTCAACACATACCCTTTCTAAAATAAAAGTGTGTCATGCCCCACTCAACACATGTAACTGGTTAACAGAAAGTCTCAGAGAATTACAGAGTCTCAACAACAACTTAACGTGGTCTCAACCTCATCAATCCTCACCAAAGGAAATCCCATGGTATGAATTCAAAATTCAGCGCTCTTCTGACTAACACGAATGCTCTCTTTACTGTAATATTCAGGAGAAACACAGAATCTAAACAATTCCAAGTTGCCCTACACAAAGCACTCTTGTGTCACTACAAGAATCAACATGATGCACTCAGTACCACCACTCGTTTCTAGTATGATCTGTTTACCTGTCTTCCAAAACAAGTAACAATCAAATACTACGATAATAAAAATTGTGTCATTCGGTTTACACACTCTGTCAAAAATGAGGGGCTTGAAAAGTCAATTGTAAAATGTTTTTCTGAGAAACACAACACGCGTGTTCTTAACAAATACTAATCTCCTGTTGTGGCTCAACAGGTAGGATGATCCATCCTCTTGGATTGGATGTAGCATAAGTGTTTTGTGTCCACTGTTCTATATATCACCCCTTAAAACCTCCTATCGGTATGTTGTGCCATAAAAGAGCTGCTTATCATTCTTGTTCAGGTTTCCTTATGACCTTTTATCTCTCTATTCTGTTTCTGTGGTCAACCTCTTGATCAGGGGGGGATTCGTGTAAATTAAAAAAAAAAAAAATTAAAGGGAGAAAAGTCCCATGATCCATTAAAAGGAAGAGTAGGAGAAAAGTCATAGCCTCTTCTGTGTTCAAGAGAAAAGTTCATACAAAGGGGGAGAAAAGTCCTAAAACTTTTGTCCTTACCATTTGGTGTCTCTATTTAAACGGAAGAGTAGGAGAAAATTCCTAGTCTCTTCTGTGTTCAAAAGAAAATTTCACACAAAGGGGAGAAAAGTCCTAAAACCTTTGTCTTTACCACTCGGTCTCTTTGTGTCAAAAAAACATCTGAGTTTGGGAGTTTCTGTTTCCTTCTTTTCTGTAAAGATCTGAACTTGAATGATAATGTGAAAGCTAGTCTGGATCAATCACTATTGGTGAAACCTACTCTCTGAGAAATAACTACCACAGTGGACTGGTGGGTTGATCAGTTTCATTTTTCTCAAAAGGCTTCCACGTGCTACTCTGATCCAGATGTGTGGTAACTCATGACCTTGAGTTACAATGAAGAGTTGTGCTAGATCTAGTTCTTGTGCAATTCTATACGTAGAAAGTTATGGCTATATGTTTTATGTAGAACTCCCACTGTAAATAGAGATATCTGTTTACTCTTGGAAGTAGTGTTAGTCAAAATTATGTGTGTTGTACTCTCCACTGAGGGTGGCTTCGGCTAATTTTTGTCTTACTAATGTGGATGTTATGTTTTGATAGCCTCACTTTTTGGAAAAATTAAGCCCACTGTTATCTCGGTAAAAAAAAAAATTACTAGGTTTGGGCCGAGCGGTTCTGACGAAAGAAGAAGGGAAAGATGAGTGGTGGTTACTGTGCTTTTTCATCAAAACCGTGAAAAGCGGACTCCAGATCTGTCTACTCCAGATCTATCTTTTTACTTTACTCTTTTCTAACCCTAATTTCTCTTTTTTTTCCTCTCTCAAAGAAACCATTCCTCATATTTTTCTCACTTCTTTCCATCTGTTGTATCCTCTTGGTCAAATTCCTCCTTGCTACGTTTTACAATGATGTCTGTGTCTTCAGAAGATGAGCCTCAACTTGTGGAAGAACCGACTCCCACTAAAAATAAAAGGCCTGCTCCAACGGGAAAGGCAAGTAAAGCCAAGAAGGCGAAATCATCAGCAGCCATCAAAGCAGAGTGGGTAAAAGGGAATATCGCACATCGTCTTTGTACTCGCACCCAAGGGAAGGTTGCTGCTCCTGTTACCACTGCAGAGGGCAGTGGGGAGTCAGATTCAGGAGTCCCCCCGGCTGGAACCACTAAGCCCTCTAAACAGAACCATGCAAAGCCGGCAGTTTCTCATATCTCTGACGACACTGACGATCCGGTTCCACCATTCCTTCTCCGTTACGAAGCACATCGAAAGGTTATCCTGAACCGTGACCAGAGGTACCCTGAATTCAAGAAAAACTATGTGTCTCCGCACAACAAAAAGTTTGTTTCTGTGGCGGCGGAAGAAAGGTATAAGACTATGGCCTCCAAGAATTTTAACGATATGCGAGTCCTGCCTGTAGGATCTTCAAACTCTGCTGAATCTGAAACCCTTATCAT